GTGAAAAAATAAATATTTAAACAAGGAATACATGTATTCCGTCTAGATCTCTTGCCAAGTTTCTTATAATAAACATTAGCAAATAATTATGTTTTTAAAAGGAAACGATTGTGGGACAGAAATATATGATGGATAGAGGACGATATAGACAGGACGGGTCCGGACGGGACGAGACGGGACGGGTTGGGACGAGACAGGAAGGGACGGGTCGGGACGGGACAAGTTTCTCATTCCTAACTATACGTAAAATAATTCAAACTAAAGTCAAATCCAAATCCGATTTAACATCTCTAAGCAAACAGTTAGAAATGTTTTGATTAGTTTAAAAAATAAACACGTAATATCATTTAACATTTTCATTTAAATTATTTTAAAACTATATTAAGTAAACAATATCTATATTTTACAATTGTATGCATATGTATAATTTTTCAAATAAACTTATATAACAAACTTTTACCAAAATCGTATCTACATAAAAAAATCGTAGTTTTGCAAAAATAACCCCGCACGTACGTGCGGGTCCATCACTAGTGAACTTTAAAAGGTCTAATAAAATTCATTGTTATTGAACTAGTAATTCTAAAATCCACGGTTATTGAAAACAGTTTCTGGAATTGATTTTAAATGATTTTAGAGGATTTTAGAAAACTCCCTTAGTTAAAAATACAAAAATTCAAATCTCTTAATGATAGTTTTAGGTGGGATTCGAAAAGATTTTACAATAAATCGCCAAAATCATATAAAAACCATACAAAAATTCAAATCTATTAAAAATGCTACTTTGAAAACATCCCTCCTAGTGTCGAAGATTCAAGATTATGCACCAATATTTGATATTAGTTTTTAAGAAAGATAAAATTTAGAACAACATGATTTTTTCCTTAAAGAACATAAACATTTATAAGAAAGTTTGAAAGGTAATGATAAATATTTAAAATGAAATCTTCCGATAATAAATTTAGATAAAAAATAATTATTATTTGTAATAAGAATATTTATATAAACATGTAAATGTTTAAGACTAAAAATGAACAAAAATTACAAAAATATTTCGGCGGCCTAGCAGTATAAATTTGAGGGTCAAAGTCACGAAATGAGAGAAATTTGAGGGTCAAAGTCACGAAATGAGAGAAATTTGAGGGTCAAAGTCACGAAATGAGAGAAATTTGAGGGTCAAAGTCAGTATAACCAACGTCAAATAGACAGAGACCTTCAGATGGAGCTGGAGGAGCTGTGGCTCGTCTGCATGAAGCTTCTAGCAGCTTTAACAATGCATCATTATCCGCACCAGCAGCTGCTTCTCGGATTGATGTTGCCACAAGAACTCTTACCATCTGAAAGTTACCAAATAAACATTTAAGAATGAAATGAAGGAGAGAATTAGAAAAAATTAGAACTCTTTTAGGGATGAGATCCTCATCAGAGCTGCTGTTGTACCGTTCCCCTTGCAAGGGACTTTAAGTTTAGGACTCTTTTAGGGATGAGATCCTCATCAGGGCTGTGATTCTTTACTTTTACAAAGTTTAAAGTAAACTGCAAAGAACTAAAACTTGCAACTAAAGTGTATTTGAGGCTAATATTTGGATTAAAGTAAACACCTTGCGGAGAAATCGGTTAGCGACAAGCTCAACGCACATAACCCTTCGTCCTTCTACATGATCCTGGTACAATTCATCAAAAGAAGTCAATATTAGTTTCATATATGGGGAACTAATCTCCTCTTTAGGACACACTTGCAATGAACAAAAACCCGCGAGAGCGTCTATTAAGTCTCAAGATTTATAGCCAAAACAAGTCCTATTGATGCACCAAAAAACATTGCCACAAAAATGAAGAGCTAAGATCGTATCTACATCAAGAAAATACGAGCTTCTAACCAAGCCTTAGAATCTTAAGTAGAAACTATGGCGTGTAACACCTTTACTCAACAAGTGGCATTAGAATGACTGAGTGTGAAGTAGAGAAATAACATCAAATGTGAGAACACAATCAAACACTTACAGAACAAGACAATTTAATCTCGGCTGCCCGTGCATGGTACATGAAACATTCTGTAGGTGGACCTCTGAAATGTCAAAGATAACCCATATTAGAAACCATATAACAATACAAATTTGTGGCAATGTATATCATGCTGACAAGAAAGGTAAATTATCATGCTGGTAAGAAACTGGTCTATAATTGTTGCAATACCAATGACCTTGTGAGAGCTCTTACTCGTTTCTTGCAGCCTTTGTGTCACGCGCAAACATCTTGTAGGATAATACTTTTCCTTGAAGCTGCTGTAAAATTTGATCAACTTTGCTTACACTGAAATCACTTGGTTTCTCTACTACTTGAAGCTCTTTGCTGGTTTCCTCAATTTCAAGCTCATCATCCTCACTCAATACTACTTCTTCAGTATTCTCTTCACTTAAGAGTCCATTTCTTTGCTTTTCATGGTTCTCATCAAAGATATAGTTCTCATGATTCTTGCCACCTTCGCACAATGGCTCAATATCATCCAAGGGAAAGATATACAAGTAGCGCCTCCATTTTGCAGAGAAATTTGGGTGAAATGATCTGGAAACCTGCAGTTTCAGTTCATAGTTCCAAAACCACGATTAGAACATTTTCGTATCCCTACACATAGTACATACTTTTATCAAAATTTTCAGAAAGTTCAAACAGGAGACTGAAACCCATCCTGAATAGAGTATACCTTAGAGATTGAGACAACCTTAAGTTTCCCAGAAGCATCTTTATTGATAGCATCTTCAATAGCAATAGGTTCAATGTCTTTTCTCCAGGTATCTAAAAACAAAAACTTAAAATTATAAAATCTTTCAAATTAATCACGTTGACAAGCCAGATTAGCCATGTCCTTGAAACAAGTAGTACAATCTCATAATAATTTACTACTAATTTGAGTAATCATGCAGAACAAAGATTTTCTCTTACAGTCTTACTTATTGCTTAACTTAAGAGAAAGAAATGACATTAACTAATTTCTTAGGAATCAGAATTTCACGTACAGAAAGAACAAACTTGATTAAGTGCAGACACTCCTTTGTCAGTTCTTCCAGCAACAAGTACACGTCCTTCTAATGGTTTACATTTTTTCTTGAGCAGTTGAGCTTTCTTTTCATCAACAAACTCTCCCAGTGACTTCTCTACTACACTTTAAAACCCACAAAACAAGCAAGTACATGTTTTATCCTTTTGCTTCTAAACTTTATTGAATCATTCAAATTTTCAGGCTGGAAGAAAAGGGTCTTGTAAGAATCCTATGATTCTCTTCAAAGAAACTACTAATACACAAAGATACTCAATCTTTCGACGGATTTCAAAACGAGAAAGATGAAACCTTACCCCTGAACAGTGTGTAAGTCAGGCTGTTTCTGCCACCCATCAAAAGAAGTCCCATTGTACGAAAGAACGATCTTGAAATTTACTCTCTCCCACCTCCCAGACCTCCCATCTTTCCTAGTAGAAGTCTCCAATTCAGATTCAAGAGGTATCCCTTCAGTTATCCCATCATCATGGACCAAATGTTTCTAAATTTCGAAACATTCATTTCAATCAGAACGACGACGATACAAGCCATATTGACACAAACGAGTTGGTGCTAAAAGATACTAACTTTGGGCTGAAACAGATTCAAGACTGAAGTATTCCCTTCCACAGCATTTGAATAGAAATCAAGAACATGTTGCCAAGGCCTATCATACATAAACCTAAATGTCTCTCTGCCCAACAAAATAAAAGCAAAAATGAGCATCCACATATGAAAAGTTAAAGACTTTAGTGTTTCATGAGCTTGTGTTCTCGTTAACAAACCAATTGATAAGGTTCAGGATCAGTATCTTCATTAACAAAGATGCCCTCAAATCGAAAACGAACCAAGTTCAAGTCTTTCAATGATAAATTTGATAGTTTTTCAAACCTGGCGTTCCAGCGAGCTTTGCTGCAGGCGTCGGCATGGTGGTAATGAACGTAGACTCTGCTCGTCGCCATGTCTGAGATTGTGACCTAAGCCGTTGCTAGTTGAAACCTTCTTGGTCAGAAGTGGTTTGGTTATGGTTTGGTTTGGATATCAATGTACCGGGCCGTGTTGTTGGGCTTTATTATTTATACAAATGAATAAAGTGGACTTGTTTTGAATTTGATTATTTTTTTCAACTAATCACTTTTTAACCCATTTGGTTATAGAAAGAACTTACGATCTTGTGGTAATAGTAGAAAATAGGTACACATTTATTTTGGTACAGAAAGAGTTTTTATTTTAATTCGGATTTCAGATTTTTCTGCTTATAAGAGGAGTGTATATTGGAATACAAACCAATATCCCACATCGGAAGATTAGAAAGAGAAGTTTCTAATATATAAGTTAAGTCCAACTCTAATTAGTATGAGGTCTTTTGGGAAGGAGCCCAATAAATCCGTGCGGGCTTGAGTGATAAGCCCAAAGCGGACAATATCATACTAATGGAAAGTTGGCTTGGTTATAGAGATTCCAACAGTGTATTCATTATTTTAAGTGATTTGTGTAAAATTTATAAATCTTATGTTATTTTATTCAATCATGGATATCAAAAAATTCAATGAAATCTTGTGTTATTGAACTAATGATTTAAAAGTTCACCATAAAATTCATTGTTATTGAAAATAATTTGTGGATTTGAATTTTTATGATTTTGAAGGATTTGAGAGGATTTTAGTAGATTTACTTAGTTTAAAATACATAAATCCAATTATCATGATTTTAAGTGCAATTTGAAAAGATTTTAGAAACTCCTCTAAATCATCAAATTCATATAAAAACTCAAAACACTTCAAATCATTTTAAATGTTTGGTTTTTAAAAATTAAATTTTTAAAACCTAATTAGCATAGTTATACAAATTATATAGGGACAATTTTAAATCAAAATATTATTATTAGTGAATTTTGGTACGTTTTAGAGTTGGTTTTTTTATAGTTTGGATTCGGTTCGGTTAATAATCAAGTAATTTGGTATGAAAATTTACAATATAATAGGTTTTTTATAGTTAAATTCAGAAAGTTCGGTTAACTTAAAATTATAAAATTAAGGGGGATGAGAATATTGTGTTTATTACTTGTCTTCTTATAAATATTATGGAATCTTTGAACAATGAAAATTTTTAGATTTATAGAAGAGCACAACTTCAAGACGCAAAAATATAGTCCATTAATAGATTTTAGAAGGATTTAGATGACTTGATCTTTAAACTAAACTCCTAATATGTATTTAATACCTAACATAATACATCAACAACAAGAAAACAATCTCCTAACTAATTTTGTTCATAACAATTTAGTTATTTAAACGAAAACTAGCTTCTCCTTTTGGAGGCATATATAGGAGTTGTTTACACTAAAAAGGTTAAAAAATAAATTGGTATAGTATTTGAAGTAGATGAAACTTTTGATGATAAAAAAAATTGTGTAACAAAAAGAAGAAAAAGAAAAGCATAAAGAAACAAACAAGTCTACTACTCTTATCTTTCAGTCCCTTGCTAACTAAGCATGTTCACATATCACTCACTTTGTATGATATATTAATAGAGAGAGTGGTCCTCTGAAGTTTGTATACACCACTTGCTCATCAACTAATATCTCTCTCTCTCTCTCTTTCTTTCTCACTCTCTCTCTCTCTCTCTCACTCTCCATAGCTCTCTCTCTCCACAATTCTAAGTTCAGAGTAGAGGAGAAGAAGAAGATGAAGATCCTGGTCATACTTTTCCACAGCTTTCTTGAACTTTTCTTTTTTGCATTTTCCTATAGTTTACTAAACATGTATAGCTAAAAAGAATCTATAATTAGAGCTTTTTGGAAACAAAGAAACAAAAAGCTCAAGAAAGCTGTGGGAAAACATGACAAATTCAGGGTTTTTTCTCCAATATTTGATTCAATTGTGCCATAATCAGATTCTTCCAATAGTTGTTAATTTTATCATAAAATTTGATAAAGGTATGTTTACAAATTACTCTTTTTACTACTCCTATATTCTCATACAAAAATCTTATAATACATAAGAAACTATGACCATCATATGTTATATATATTGACGTACATAAGAAACTATGAACATCGTTTATGGATGTAATTATTAGGATATGTTGGCTACATATTATTATTAGAAGTTCTTGTAATTTTGTTCTCAAGATTATTAAACTCTCCTTGTTTTTTTTTTCTACTTTTCAGATTTTTATATTGTTAGTTTGTATACTAATAATTAAGTCTGTGTATTGATCAACTTTGAAGCTAAGTGTTTATAAATGAACATTGTCACAAAAGAATCACAAAAGAATGAAGCTTCTGTGAGTTTCCAGCTCTGTAAATTAATGGTGTACACGATTATTTTACATTACATTGGAAAAGGTTTTATCTGACGTCACTCTCTAACCACTCCACCTCATACGTTATATGGATCTCGATGGACATAGTCACATATTGTTTAATTTGATAAGTGTATGTGTATGTGTATGTACGTTCATTACAACTTTACATATATATTAGTATAAGAGTTTGGATCTCTCTATGCATATGTTACTCACATGTGACACTTACACATCATCCCAAAATTTGTGTTTATATACCCACATGTATATGTATGTGATATGGTAATATACAATACAATACGATACGATACATATGCATGCAAATACAAAAATTTACACATATATATTGATTGTATGGGCATGCACATGTGCATGTCCTGAAGAGAAGGAATTGTCAGTAATTTAACTTGGAGTTGGACGTGTCTTCCTCTGTCCATTTGCTTTTTCTCACATCAAATCAAACATGACAACATCCCTGTTTCCGTTTCTCGTAAGTGCTTTGTTTTCCTAATCAGTTTCATATATGTATATGTCCCTTCTTATAACTTTCAATGTAAGATCCATATCTCTATGCCCAAATGGTAAATGAGTTTTGGAAACAATTTGCTAGCCTATAGACATGAGGCATAAGTGTTTTCAACATCATTGCTTCTTTCGAACATGACTCCTCGAAGATTTTGTGGTTGTGATTCCGACTTACCATTTTCTTGTTTGTGGTAATTTGTGTTTCAACTTTTATCTTCACGATTTCATGGATCTTTTGTCGGCTTATCTTACCTATAATGTTGTTGCATCTCTAGATGCCTTTATATATGAGTTTCTACACTCTAATATTAAGCTTTTTGTTACACATTTTATTCAAAGCTTTGTAATACAATTTATACCAAGCTTTGTAACACACCTTATATACATGTAAAATAATGTTTTTGATGCTTAGAAGTCGCTGGTTCTATTAGCGCTTGGGACGAGACCATATAACATGATTTGATCTCGCCCCTGAATCTCTTTGACTATTCAGAAAAATAAGATACAATGATTTTGCCCCCAAAAAAAAAGTTATTGTATATGTTTTTTTTACATCGTACTAGAGATTGTTTCTTTCTTAGTCAAGTGTTAAAGGAATAGTGGTGATATATAACTGATGAGATATAAATATTGTATAGTGAAAAACAATTATTTAGCAGAATAGTAGTAGTAAAAAAGTGTTTTTGTCCTTTTGATTTTATTTAATTTATGATAAAAACAGATCTGAAGATGATTGCATTGTTGTGGCCTTGTGGGTCTTGTTTGTTTTCCACTGATTCCAAAACCTTTTTGACGTGAAAATTATTTGATTGGCTAAATAAAATTGGGATATATGAGAGAGATAGAGAGAGAGAGAGAGAAGATGGCCAACGCTTTGAAAGTGAAGGTTTTGTCAATTTATGATCAGAAAAAGGAACCTATTGATTCCGATCTCCTTCTTCTAGGATTGTAGCAAACCCTTGTTTTCGGGAATTGAGAGCTCTTTGTTTTGATACCCCAAATTTTTTTATTTTTAGAAAAATAGCAAGTGCACATAGTGAATATGTACCTATTTAGTATATTTTTTCTATTTTTTATTTTATGTTTATTGATGATATGTAAAATTTTGTTGATCTATGAATCTAGAGTTGTTTTCAAGATGGATAGAATCAAGGCCGGTTTTACCCAAAAAGTCGTTTCAATTCGGTAGAATTTTACTAACCACAATAAACTGAACCAAACGGATTATTAATTTGGTAGATTTTAATTTTTTTAATAGCCTAAACCGACTATCATAGTAATTATTGTATTATGATTAAGTAATAGTATCTCTATATTAGTAATTAGTAAAAGTAATTGTTGTACAATATAGAATACGGATCGGGTCAAACTAAAAAATTAACCCGATTTTAACAATTGGATACTAAAATGGGTTTGGATACATACATCGGATACTTTCCATATCTAATTTTAAGATTATATTATTTCCATAACTAACGGTATGATTTCCTAATACAGTAAAACCTCTATAAATTAATAATGTTGGGACCATGAAAATCTATTAATTTATAGAGGTATTAATTTAATTTATCGATAAATTAATAATTATTAATTTATAGAGAGATATTCCTAATTTGGAAAATATTTTCAAGATAATATTTAAAAATAAGATTTAATAATGATAATTAGTATTTTATATAGTCAATTACAAATAAAGTAATAATTATTATGTATTAAAAGATAATGCTAACTATTTTTCATATAGTAAAATATTATAAATAAAATCTAACAAAAACTAATGTGTCTATATATACATATATATTGAAAATTTTACCTAATTATTAATTTATAATATTGATGGGACCATATATTTACAAAGGATTTTCAAAAAAATTATTATCTTATTTTTTATCGAAATATGTCTAAAATTACACTGGTCCCAAGTTGGGACCGGAGAAATTTATTAATTTATAGAGATTATTAATTTATCGAGTATTAATTTATAGAGGTTTTACTGTATTTCTCTTACTAATTTAATATAATATATTAAAAACAATTATCATTCTTCTTTGACATTTATTTGATATTATTTTAAATTTATGATATTATACTATATAATATAAAAAAAATAAATTTTTTTTTTCATATGTAGCAATTTGAATTTTT